TATCTATATACACACACAGATATCTATACACACACACACACACACACACAAATCAATTTCATCCATTCATATATATACACACACACACACATATACTAACTGGGTATATATACAGACGTATATACACCACACACCACTACCAACACCGGCGCAAGAGACGGCTGCGGGGAAAGTGCAGGAGACGACGGCGGCAAGCGACCCATCATGGTGACGAGATCCTGCGTGGCGACGATGAGGATGATTGAGCAGTACGAAGAGGAGCGCCGCTGCTGGGAGTTGGAATTCGGCCAATTCTACCGTCAAATCAAAAGACTTTGATGGAAGAGAAGACGTCGAAAATGATGCCAAGGACTCCGGTGGCGTCGATAATAGCGGTCCAACATTAGGTCTTGCATTTTTGTCTCTGTCTCTCTCTAAAATTTTCTCTAATATGTAAATTTTGGTTGTGGTGATGGCTGATTCGTTCTTGGATTTGGGGATTTCGTGGTGATGGCTAATTCGTTCTTAGTTTTGTTTTAGTGGGTCTTACCAAAGTTCTGTTTGTAATGTGTGTGAGCAAATGTATGTTATGGGTTTGTTTGGAATCTGATTAAATCCACGTGGGAATTGAATGGTTTTTGGATCTGGGTTTTGTTTGTGTTGAATTTGTAGGTGAGGCTGTTGAGAGAAGAAGAAATTAAACAATGGCGAATAGGGTTGATAAGAATCTGTTAAAATCCGGCGATGTTTTCCGGTAAGGTGCAGATGACGGCGAGGGCTTGTAGGAGGAGCCGATTAGGGATTCGAGAGTGGGAAAGAAAGGCCACTAGCTAGTGTAGTTGCCGTTCGATCTTGTATTTCTTTTTGAGAATGTCAATTCAGTTCTTGCACTGGATACCTGTACGGCGAGCCTTTTTGACGTGGCCGTGACGGGCGTTGAAGGCGTCGGCGACGTCCTGCCAGTGTTTTTGACGGAGGTTGCCGCGGTTGAGCTCGATGTAGCGTTCGCCCCAGGCTTCGATGAGAGTGTGAGTAGCGTCCTCGGACCAGCAGTCCTCGCGGATGGGCAACAATAGCGGTGATCGGGACAAGTGCAACGTCGTCGCCGGCTACGGGAGGGTAGTGGTGGGTTCGTCGTCATCGTCGTTCATTGGTGCTAATGTATCTGACTGTGATTAGGTAACAGTGGTCGTTGAGTCTTCTAGGTTGGGAGAGAGGTTGTTGGTTCGCATTGGTGACGGTGAAGGAGAGGGAGTTTGTAGAAGAAGTGGTGCGTGAGAGGCACGTGATGGGACTGTTTATTATCTTTTTGGTCTTTTTACAAAATTTTGTATTTTTATATATTTTATAAAATTGTTGACTAAGGGTATTTTAGTCAAATTTAGTTTTAAATTTGCCATAAGGGCTTGATTGCACCAAATTGAAACTTGAGGGGTGTTATTTGCAAGGGAAGGATGTTATATGCACTATATGCATACTTGATGGGCGTTTTTTACACTTGACCCATATATATATATATGTGGGTTAAGTGTAAAAAAAAATCCATCTACTATCGATATAGTGCAAAATAGTCTTTGTGTGGTATAAAACTCCCCTATATTATCAATTTGGTACAATTACCCCCCTATTCGCATAAAAAGACTTTAATACCCTCTAAATATAAATAAAAGAGTTAAGTGTAATTAAAAAAAAAAAAAAAAACCCAAATATATAGGATTTGTGCAAAATAGTCTCTATTTTTTTAAAATATGCATTTCAGTCCATAAAATTTTAAAAAGGTGCAAATAAGCCCCTTTGACCACTTTTTGGTCAAAATCGACATAAAATAAATTCAAAAACCCTATTTTGCCCTTTTCTTTTCCTATTTTACCCATCTCTCCTACGTTCCACCATTACCACCCCCACCACCACCACCACCACCACCACCACCACCAATATGTTTATTTTGGCCATTCAATTCAGCCCAATAGCCAAAGTTTAGCGCCAATCTATTGAGTTAACTTAGTGTGTCATCAAACAAAGTCACATCACAAACCTAACTGTTGGTGGTTGTTGGCGACAGTGAAGGACGGCGAGCTTGAGACGCTATTAATGTGCCATCGGTGATGGCAATTGATGAGAAGGGTCTGGATCTGTTGGTGTTTGCCGTTCGATAAGGATGAGAACTTGCCGCCGGAGTTTGGTTGACGGTGAAAGGTTGAGGTCTTATTCTACGACAATGAAATAGCGGACGGTGAACCTCATGAGGTGGTTCCAGTGCGGTCGCCTCTGCCTGTTCCTTTCCTTCCATCATCTCTACCGCCACCACAACTTTTAAAGCCGCTGCCACCTCTAGGGCCTTTGGGGCTTCTTCTTCCCTCCCTCTATCATCTAGACCGCCACTACACTTTTAAAGCCGCCGCCACCTCTGGGGCCTCCAAAGCTTCTTCCTCCTTTGAAGCCCCTTCCTCCTTTCCCTCCATCACCTCGGTTGCCTTTGAACCCTTCACCACCACGACTTACAAATCAATCAATCAAATACAAAGGGAAAATAATAATAATAATAATAAATTATCTAAAATGGTAAGTTTACATTGTCTAATTTTTTTAATATTATTTCATTTACATTGGAGAGGGTGTAAATGTCTTTTTATGCGAACAGGGGGTAATTGCACCAAATTGATAGTATAAGGGGTTTTATACTACACAGAGATTGTTTTGCACTATATCGATAGTAGATGAGGGTTTTTTTGCACTTAACTCAATGGCAAAATAGGGTTTTTGAATTTATTTTATGTCACTTTTGATCAAAAAGTGGTTAGATGGGTTTATTTGGACCTTTTTTTTTTTTTTTTTTAATTTTATGGACTGAAATGCACATTTTCAAAAAGTAAAAACTATTTCTGCACAAACCTTATATGTTCAATTTTTTTTTTTACACTTAACCCTATATATATATATATATATATATATATATATGTATGTATTTCATCACTTAAAAGATGACTTACTACTACATGGCTATTTGCAACTGTTTATTTATTTAAAACCAATTGTAAATTAATTCAAGCCTTCTTAACCTGTCCAAAAGAGCCACAATAGCATTTCTCACTTAATATTACATCACTTTGGTATGACCTATATCTTTCAAATTAAAGTAAAAAGTGAGGCTCGACTCCTTTAGAACAAATGAGCTCCCACAAAGGAAGGCTGCAAATTCTTTGTTACTACGAAGGTTCTTGAACTTTGTAAAAGACCAATTAAAAAGAATCAAGGAATACAATTTCTACTTTGGTTGGCTTGAATTTTATATAAAATTAACCTATTGTTTTGAGGCATTTCTCATATTAACAGGAAACTTTCAGTAATGAGAGAGAGAGAGGGGGTGAATCATGATGCATGGGTTGGCTGCACAAAAATTGAACAAAAACTAAATATTAAGATGTTGTTTGATAAAATTAAAAATTAAGTATTGAAAATTTTAAGTACGAATGTTTCTAAGTGGTCATTAAAAAATAAATATTTTTTAAAATTTTCAGCGTTTAGTATTCGGTAATAAGTGATGCCCTTATCACTTAAAATTTTATCTCATTTTAAGCGATGCTTAGCATTTTTTAGTTATATTCAAATTTTGTTATCTAACTCATTTAATTAAATAAATACTTAATTCGATCAAAATTAAATACTGAATTGAGTTATCAAACAACATCTTAGTTAAAGTAAGAAAGTTTTTCTCAAATTTGTAAAAGATGAGACCTTCTTCTTAATATAGACGAGTGTAAGCAACTGTCCCTCCACGATTGTTATACGATTCCAACTAATAACACGTGTTGCTACCTCGCTTATTTTTTAAGCTTTATGTCAAAGAGTTGTTTATACCCTCATATTTGTTAAATGTTAAAACTAGCGCCATTCTAAAAGTGAGTGTAATACTTAACATCTTCATTGATCTAACCTTTCGGTGTTTGTGCATTCCCCGTATAATTGGGACGTCACAGTCACTCATTCTTAAAGCTTTAACTTTCTCATTGAAGCCACCTACAGGTGTTTGCACGCTCTCCTATATTTTAGGTGGGAATGGACTCTGATACGAAGGACCTACCTATTTCATGCAAAACGTCTACCCCTTTATCGGACATTCCTCTTACAAATGTTAATAAATTCTCTTCCACACATAATGTGAAACATCACAGAAGTGAACCGATTTAGACCATTCCTGCCTCAAATCAGTAGCTGTGTGAAACCCAACTGAATTGCTCGGATCAGTTCCTATTAGATCTTGCACCCAACCAACAACTAACAATATATAGCAATGACTATATTTCTATTTTTCATTACAAAACCAAGAGAACAAGATATGTAGAGTAAACTTAATCAGGTGGGTATATATCACTATTCATAAAATACTGTACTTATGATGGAGCTGGTTTGGACATCTTTGTCTTTTTATTTATTTATTTTTTTAACCATTTCAAAAAAAAAATATGTTTGTACCTATTATAAAGTAGTTTGCTTTGGTTTTGCTTTTGTTGTGGCATCAAAGTAATTGGTCACCACGTGGCACTTACATTATTTAGGTGTAAATTAAGTACAAATTAAAAAGTTTGACAGAAAACATCATTTACCCTTTCCACTTGTAAGTACATGTGCAGCTTAGTTTTCAGATAATTCTCTCTCATGCACCATATTGTAAAAGGAGTACCATTCCAATTTTCTTTCCATCTTTTTCTTAAATGTTGAAAAAACCAATTCCTCTTGATGACATAAGCAATGTATATTTTATTTTGTTATAAAATGATATTAAAAAGTAACCTAACATGTGGCTACCTCCAAAAAAAAAAATAGTATATCTCATTCTCTTAAGCACGTTTTCACCATCTAATTGACTTGATCTAATTATCCAACGAATTTGATTACACTCTCCACTTAAAATCAACTAACTTGCAAATTGTCAATCACACTAATATGAATCTTGTTGATTTTGCTCCAATGGCTAGGTTGAGTCAAGTTCACGTGCCTTTAAATGAATAGATCGAAATGGGTTGAATCAAGACAAGTAAATTGGATTTCTTTATTTTAAGGGAATGAAACACTAACTTGGAACCACATAGAAGCTCTAGAAGCTCGAAACATGTTCATGGAAATATCAGTGTTACAAAAAAGGAAAAGAAAAAGAAAAAAAACACTCTAAGGACTTAAATCATTCCATCTTTTTCATCATAGGAATGACAGTAAGTGGGATGGCTTTCTTCAATGTAATCCCAAACTGCTCCTCCATGTCCAAATTCTCCGGCGCGATTCCTCCGGCGATCTTCCAATTGAATTCATGGACAAGAGAAGCTAACATTAGATAAACCATTCGGAACCCCAGAGGCAAACCAGGACAGATTCTCCGGCCAGCGCCGAAGGGTATGTACTGAAAGTCTTGGCCTTTAAAGTCCATGTCAGAGCCTAAGAACCTCTCTGGCTTAAATACCAATGGGTTGTCCCAATACAATTCATCTCTACCAATAGACCATGCATTCACTACGACATGGTTGTCCTTATATATGGTGAAGCTGCCGATTTCTACGTCAGTCCCGGCTTTGTATGGTAGCAGAAGTGGGGCGGCGGGGTGGAGTCTCATGGTCTCCTTCACCACGGCTTGCAGGTATGGGAGGTGATCAATGTCGGATTCTTTGACGGACCGGTTAGAGCCAATTTTTTGGATGAGTTCGTTCTGTAATTTCTTCATTGTGTCCGGGCTGCGAAGAAGTTCTGCCATTGCCCATTCGGTTGTTATTGAAGATGTATCACTCCCAGCAATAAACAAGTCCTGTGATTGTATACTGTGAGAACTTAAAATTTTATACTCACTGTCCCAAATTAAGTGTAGTTTTTGAAAAAAAATTGTGAGTCACAATTTTCAAGATTACATGTGAAACACAATTTTAAAAAATAATATTTAATTTGGAAAGTAGGGAATATAACTACTGCCTAATGCATTCTTGAGGCTGATACAAAAATAATATGATGAAGAATAAATGTAAAACAACATTTGTCTACCAACTGGATGCAGTTCAGATGGTCTGAATCTTTGAGTGGGTGGGATTTCTTGACCTTCCCCCTTCCGAAGAATAAATAAATAAATAAATAAATCACCGATGGTGATTTTAAAGTCCTCAAGTTTGAACCAAATAGAAAGTCAAAAGACCATATCCGTAAGGTATAATTAGAATATATTTATTGAATAAAAAGTCTTCATCTCTCTTTGAAATTAATAGTATTATTCAAAAATAATATATATAATTAAATAAAAAAATATTATTTTCAAAATTTTAGGACCTACTTCATTTATAACTCTGAAAAAAAATTTCATGAGCTTAAAAAACACAAAACTGTTTTATAAGAATTATAAAATTAACACAATTATCTAAAAACACATATTTTTATAACCGAATTTTTTAAAAAATTAAATTAAATAAATTTTTTTTCTATAATATTCTGATTTTCAATTTTCTAAAAGCATAAAATTATTTTCATAATTACAAAAACAAGCATGCCCCTAGGTTTCTTCATTCGATTTTTCTCTTGTGGAATCACTAAAATTTTACTATGTTGAAAAATGTGTCACTATTTTAATTTTTTGAAAAAAAAGGTATTTTAAACTTTTCTTTAGACTGAGACAAGTTGTCTTCAAGAAAAAGCAAATCCCAATTTCTGTACTACATAATCAATCCAACAAAAAATCCTTTTTTGTGTGCTACATTTTCTATCCAAAAACATGAAGTTACATAGCAAAAAGAAGTTGATGGTTCTTACCAGGATCAAAGGCTTGATGGTTAGGCTGTTGAAATCCGATTCATCTTTTTCACATTGATCAAGAAGAACTTCCAAGAAATCACCAGCACCCAAACCCAAAGCCCTAGATTTCAAACGCTGACTGACGATTTCATCAAAGATCTCATGAAGCCTCTTATAAGAAGGCTTTATGTGATGCCTTATTCCCTGCAAATCAAACCATTTCAGCACCGGAAAATAGTCAGAAAGATTCGGCTTCCCGCCATCTTCCATAATCCTCCAAACCAGGTCCTTGAACTCCTGAGCTGACTCGAAGTCCGGGTCGATCACGTCGACGGAGAGGATGGTGATCGATATCAAGTTCAGGGTGGTAGCGAAAGCCACTTGGCCGATGTCCACCGGCTCACCGGAAGCACAGAGCTTCCGGACATGGCCGAGGAGGTCCCCGACTTTCTTGTGGCGGAGGTGTTGCATGGTGTCCAGTGTCTTGTTGGTGAACAGTTGTGTGGTGCAGACTCTCCGGCGGTTGCGCCACGTTTGGTTGCCGGGGACCCACGCAAGGGTTCCTTCCGGGTAGGGTTGGGCCGCGATGACATCCGGCACAGGCCGGTCGGAGAAGGTTTTGTCGTGCGTTTGGAGGATTTCTTTGGCCAGTTCGGCGGAGGAAGCAACAATGGTGGTAACAAGGCCGAAGCGGAGAGTCATGAGAGGGCCGTAGTGTTTAGCCCAATTGGCCATTGTCTGGTGGGGTTTCTTCCCCAGTTGGAGGAGGTTACCGACAATGGGAAGTCCGGTTGGACCGGGTGGTTGTTTGGCGGCAGGAGCTCGCCGGAGCCACCACCATTGGAGGCAGAATAACAGTATTACTACTGCAGTAGTGAAGAGGTTGAATTGGATCTCCATTTGGGTGTTCTCTCAAACACCTCTCCAGTGTGGTCACTTGATAAAGTATGTATATATATATATATAGAAACAAGAATTATTGATGAATGTAGATACCCCAAGTCATTGAGTATTGACCGACAAATTTCGCACATATACGGAGTCTTATTAATTTTTCCTCTTCAAATAAGGAAAAGATGACCAGAAAATTGAGAAAAATATTGCTAACTAATTTTTCAAACTTATTTGTACGTATAAGATCCGTACAAATAATATAATTTTATTTACTAATATAATTTTATTTTTCAATTTTAAGAAAATAAAACTCTTCTTTTAGAGAAAATGAGAATTTGTATTTCCAAAGAAAATATGTAACGCTCCATCACCCTTCATACACCAAGTCAGTGTCTAAGAGTTGGTGCCCATTGTTCTATTAATAAAAATGTATTTGAGCATTTAATAACAAAAAAAAAAAAAAGTTGTGAATTAAGTTTCTGCATGTGCTGCACATAAAAAAATCAGAGGCGTGCAGGAGAAATGGAAGGCAGGTAGGGTTTCTATAAAATAAAAGAGACTTTTTGACAGTATTGTCCAAAAATGTAGGTAGGGTTTTTATAAAATAATAAACCACATCACTTTTTGACAATATTGTTCAATAATTCACTTTTGACACTATTGTTTAAGAATTCATCATACTTACTCCATGACTCCGAGGAGGAGGAGAAATTAACGTAGCACTTCTCGGGTTTCCTTCCCCAGTTACAAAACATTTTTTTTTTTTTTTGAAAGGTAAAATCAATATATAAATATAAAATAGAACAGGCCTAGAGGTTAGACCAGGGTACAAACATAGTGTTACATAGGAAATATGGCCCAAGGAGCCACCAACCCAAGAGAAAAATAAAACTCAAAGGCCCAGCCCAGAGGAAAAAACCATAAGCTCAGAGGGAACAAGGACAACGAAATCCAACAACACAAAGAAACGTGATCATGGAGGAAGCTTCACAATATCAGTGATCCGGAGGCTGATCAGGTGGAAGAAGGATCCCCCATTCTGCATATAATCGATTGATATCAAGGAATCTTTAATAGGAGAGGACATCAACTTCCATCTAATTGATTGTAGTGTTTGGTGCAGCACCGCATTTGCAGAGGCAAACTTTTTCTTGAAAATTCGATTGTTACGCTCATTCCAGATGTTGTAAACCAATGCAGCCAATGCCAATCTGGAAATTGAATTGTTGTAAAACCATGAATTTGATTTCCCTTTCCAATGATAGGATGCCCAAGTAATGAACTCAGACCAAGATGCCGGCAAGATATGGAACCCACAACGTGTTTGTAAGAAGTTCCACATGGGCTTGACAAAGCTATACTTGAAAAAAAGGTGATCGTGGGACTCCAAATCCGAACTGCAGAGGATGCAAGTAGTGGCGTCAATATGTGAATTACACCTCCTGTCAAGTGTTGGTAGGCGAAGGTTAATGGCAACCCAGAGAATAAAGGAGTGTTTAGGTATCAAAGGTTTAGTCCGAACAAGATGTGGCCAATGAAAGGTCGGAAGATGCCTGTTTATGTGTTTCATTGTGTTGGCAATTGAGAATTTCCCTGAAGGGGATGGAGACCAAATGAATCTATCTTGCTTCTGTGGATGAGATGGTGGGAAGTTTGATGTGGTCGTAGTGTGGTGATTTGCTGGGGAAAGGACCATATGGATTGACAATTGTTGATGCAAAAATCTGCACGATCCGAAGCCAATGCCATTCTTGCAAGATAAGAGAAGTGATGACCGGCGTGGTGCCGGCCGGGTGCATTCCGACGATCAAGTTAGTACTTGACGATTGAATATCTCAGAAAAGATTTTCTGTTGGATGGGATTTATGGCCTACCTTTTTATGTTGACTGGCCTCACTTTTATAGAAAGTTGAAGTTGTCGTTTTCACATTTCCTTCTAGGAGAGAAGGGATTAGTTAATCGTATCTTTAGTGCAACCTTTGAATTAATCAAATCTTATCCTTTAATTACCTTATGAGATGGTCACCTTATCTTCTTAAGTCCCTTTGAGTCTCCATTTCACTTGAAATTCTTATCTAATCAAATATTCCGTATCAGTAGCCCCCCATTCCTGAAATCTTGCTTGTTAAGCGTCAGGAATGCCAAGTCCTTCCAAGCTAAGCGTGCTTGCTGATTACTTTCTTGCCCCTTTTAATAAGGGAGTGTATTTGCTCGAGCTTTGTGAGCTTACCCTTTAATAAAGGAGTAGTTAACCCCTCGTCTCTTTACCGAGGGAAGAATATGAAATTGACCCTTTGTTCCTTTATGGGGGAAAGAGGTGTAATCTTAATGAGGGTGACCCTTTTAATACTAGAGGTAGTCGTCTCGTCTCTCTAGTAAATGAAGAAAGTTTTAATTATCTCACCCTTCTGTGTAGAAGGAGTAGTCATTTTCTCGTTCCTTTAATGATAGATGAAGGTGTTGTCGACCTCTCGTCCCTTTAATAAGGGAAGAAGATGTAGTCGGTCTCGTGTCCTTTTAATGAAAGAATGAGGTGTAGTCGGCCTCTCGCCTTTTAATGAAGAAATGAGGTGTAGTCAGCCTTTTGCCTTTTAATATAGGACATATTGACTTGATCCCTTTTAGTACTGGGAATGACAATTGCAAGCTTCATTTAGCTTGGACCCTTATAGTATGGGGAAATTTGATTTCGACCCCTTTTAATATAGAGGACAACAATTACGAGCTTCATTCAGCTCGGGCCCTTATAGTACGGGGTACTTTGATATCAATCCCTTGTAATACGGGGATTTGCATTACGGGGTTCATTCAGCCCGAGCCCTTATAGTACGGGGCACTTTGATATCAATCCCTTAAAATACGAGGATTTGAATTATGGGATTCATTTAGCCCGGGCCCTTATAGTACGGGTACTTTGATATCAACCCCTTATAATACGGGGATTTGTATTACGGGATTCATTCAGCTAGGCCAGTTATAGTACGGGGCACTTTGATATCAATCTCTTATAATACGGGGATTTGTATTACGGGGTTCATTTAACCTGAACCCTTATAGTACGGGGCACTTTGATATCAATCCCTTAAAATACGGGGATTTGGATTGCAGGACTCATTCAGCCCAAGCCCTTATAGTACGGGGCACTTTGATATCTACCCCTTTTAGTATGGGAATAACAATTACGAGCTTCACTCAACTCATCCCTTTATTAAAGGGGTTCAAAGTAATTTTGAGTTTTACTTAGCCTTCCCCTTTGCTAAAGGGGTTCGTAGTAGTTTTGAGCTTTACTTAGCTCGCCATTTGATAAGGGTTATCTTGAGATATTGACTACCGGCGGCACCTTTGTTGTTGTTTTCAAAATTTGCCTTAAAGGGAATAATTTACAACAATTCAGATGGTTAACAAAGACCTATCTGTTGTGGCAAGAACCTGTCTATCACACATCTTTAAACATCTTTAAGCTACTCCTTAGCAGCATATTGCTTCTTGTTCCTACTGTTTCCTTTTACATAATAAATATTTGGTACATAGTGTTCCTTAAGGGAATCTATGGAAGAATATTTCTATGTTAAGGATTATACCAGTAGGGACAATAAAATAACAATAGAACTTATATCTACTTTTAATCTTAAAGATTCTTGAGATGACAATTTCTGCAAGTTTCTACAACTAGTTATCATAGGACAACTTTCAAGAAAAACTACAAAAATTATCATGTTATGGTGACTTCATAAATGCAAAGTATAAATGGACAGGATTTCAGTCCCAATAAGGAATATTAAATCATATAGTTTGCTTCACCTTATATTTTTTATACGAAAATTAAAATGAAGTCATTCAAACAAATATCAAAGTAGAACTCATAGAAGGGATTTATATGAAGAATCACAACGATGAAAATGGAATAGTATACCCTTTATCCAAGTGTATTGTAATACCCCTAATTTCAAAAGGATAGTCCTGGTATTTAATTTATTATTTTAATTGAATTTTTAATTATTTAATTGTTTATTTGAATTATTTGAATTACTTGAATTATTTGACTTATGTAAATTAGTTGAGTTATTTGACTTAATTTTAAATTAGTAAGTTGTTTAAATGTCATAATTTTTATTTCTTTGAATCACTTTTTTAATTTACTTATTTGTTTTCATTTAATGATTTAGATTAGGGTTCTTTTAAGAAATCATGGTTATAGTCGATGTAGGTTTTGATTAAGTTGTTATGGGCCGATTAGGATTCAGTTGGGGCTTGAATTAATTTAGGGTTTGGTATAACTCTATAAATATGTAGGATACGTCTGTTTAGGGTTTAAAATAAAAACAAAAATAAAACCTATTCACGTCTGTGGAGGCACAGAGAGAACAGAGGAGGAATTTTGTAGTCGGAATCGCCAGAACCTTAGAAGACGACGTAGAGATTTTGAACAAAAGTCTCAAAGGCAAGTTCTGTCTTAACTCTATCCCGTTGACTCGTGTTCTTTGCACGTTTAATACAACTTTAGGATTTAATAAGGATTAAAATTAAACTGGGTTCCATGGTTAGATGCTTACAAACTGGATGTGTTTATATATTGTATATTGTTTTGTTTTAAATTCTTTCTGGTGTAGATTCTGTTTTAATTCATGTAAATTGATGAATAATGAATTTTAGTAGGTCTATAACATGTTGGAGAAACAATGGAAGTAACTTAGTTGCAAGGTTGATTTGCTAAAACAGTTGGTGTTCATGAATGGAAATTATCCCGGTTTAAATTCCTTGTGGCATAATTGATGTATAATTAATGTCGTTGAGTGAGTAAGGAATTTAATTATTTCTTGAGCACACTGGAATCTAATTAAAACACTTAGGAACCCTAGGGATGAAGAACAGAGAAGAGACGGTTCAAGATTTCAAAGAGCCGGCTCTTTGGAGCAAAGAGCATGCTCCATGGGAACATGGAGCCGGCTCTAAGGGGTCTTAGAGCCACCTCCAAGACTAGGAGAGCAGGCTCCAAGCAAGAAAGAGCAGGCTCTTTCAACCGGCTTCTAGTTTTACGTTTTCTGCGACCTGTTTGGCTACGGAACTCGGATTTTGGGATTTTCAAATTCTGTAGGAAGCTATACTTGGGTGTTTTGAGATGTTCTAAGTTTAGTTAACACTTGTGAGAGTGGATTAATGCTTAATAAACCAGTAGGTGTTAATAGCTTGAACACTGGTAAGTCTCGACGGAAATTGTTTTATTCCAGTGCAGAGGGATTTTAAATTACTGAACCTTAATTTATTTATTCTCTGTGAGTGGAAGTTTTAATTAATATGATATTATTAATAGTGGACAAGCATGATAATTAATATGGTTTTATTAGACTTGTCATGGTTTTATGGACAAGAAGAATAAATTATCTGCATGCTCAGAGTAAGATAATTTGTAACGAAGATATGGAATGAACATAATGCTTAGCTATTTAATTTATGTTCATCATGGAATTAATTGATATGTCTTATTATTTTGATATATCAGTTACTGGAGTAAGTATGTTAGTTTATATTTATATTTATGCTTATTATGGTTCAGTTGCTATGTGCATTGATTATGTATTCTATCAACTGTTGGATGGATTGGATTGTATGTACCGGTATGGGACGGTGACATACTAGGTTTGGATTAGCTCAAATTATTAAGTCCTACCTACTTTAGAATAAGGGAATGGATCACAAAATAGAATCCTCCTTATGTATAAGTCTGTGCGGTTGAATAAGCTGAACGACTTAAGTCTGTGCAGTTGAATAAGCTGAACGACTTTTAAATATATTATTATGGTACCGTGACTTGAGCTTGAGTCTCAGAGTCAACGGTTAGGGAGCGTATATGCAATAGGACGCGTAACTGGCTATACTGGTTGAAGTGTACCCTGTAGGCTTAGGTAGTCATGCCCACTCAGGTGCATTTTGCATGTTACCTTCTACTCAGGTTGAGACCCGTATCATAGTCCAGTGAGAGTCCATAGTATGGATATATATATATATATATATATATAGACACGGATTATATAGTTATTGTTGAGTTGGTTAGAGTGTATATGCGTATCGAGTTTCTACTTGGATTGTAGTAGGATAGAACTTGTTCGTGGGCCTAACCTACTCCTATTTTTTTCAGGTGTACGTCAGTTCCAGACTTGAGCTTGTTCGTGCTGAGCAGAGATGGCCACTCATTTTTTCGACGACGTAGGATCTCTATTCATATGGTTTTCTTTTAGTTTTTCAGTTCAGTTTGGTTTTCTTATTAGGGGTCCATAGGATGGATTCCCGAATTGTACCCTTGGAGGTTTTAGAGTTGGATTATTATTATCTGGGATTTTAAATATTTAATTTTAAAGGATTTTATATTTTAGATTTCTTTCAGCTCGTTATATATATATATATATATATATATATATATATATATATATATATATATATTGTTAGTCACTTTGTATTCCGTGTTCACTTTAAAATATTAATTGTTTCATATTCCCTCGGGTTTGGGCCTGATCAACCCGTGTCTCAGATCCGAGGGGTATCACAGTTGGTATCAGAGCACTCCAGGTTCAAGTGTCTCTAGGGTGTTTCGTATTAAGTCTTCCGTGTAGCGTTTTCTTTTGATTAGTGCTTAAGTTTAGGATTCGTTAAATTCTTTTACGGTTCGCTTAGAATGTACCGATGTCTATCTTTCCGTGT